ACAACAATTGTTGCAAAAGATTGCAACACTGCTGCAAAGAATCACAACAATTGTAAAAGATTGTGATAGAAAAGTGCCTATTGCTATGTATTAATTGAGTATAAATTAAATCAAAAATTTATAATAAAACTTTAAAGGAATTGAAATTTTATTTACAATTAGTATCTGATGGTGTTTGTGGTGGTGGTGGTGTTTGTGGTGGTGGTGGTGGTGGTGGTGATGATGATGATGATGATGATGTCATTACTGTTGGTATTGATTGTAGCAGTGATATTGGTGATGTTGCAATTGGTGTTAATTGTGGTGATGGTGGTGTTGATGATGTTACTACTGTTGATATTGATTGTGGTGGTGATACTGTTGACACAGAAGCATTTGAAGCTATTCTTGTTGGAGAAAATAATGTTGATGATGGTGGTCCAGGAGATACTAATTGTAAATAAAATTTCAATTCCTTTAAAGTTTTATTATAAATTTTTGATTTAATTTATACTCAATTAATACATAGCAATAGGCACTTTTCTATCACAATCTTTTACAATTGTTGTGATTCTTTGCAGCAGTGTTGCAATCTTTTGCAACATTTTATGTCACACAATTTTTCAAATTAAGAAAAAAAAATCACAACATTTGTTGTAAAAAATTGCAACAATGCTGTGAAAAATTGCAACAATGCTGTGAAAAATTGCAACAATTGTTGTAAAAGATTGCAACATTGCTGATACCTTTTGTCCAGCATGGCGTGCCATAATCAAAGTGAAGCATGTGGAAGTTCTATTTACAGTCAAACCTTGATAATCTGAATCACAAAAGCAGGATCAGCTAATCAAAATTCGGCTTATGAAGATGATTTACAATTATAATTACTGAATTAGTACTAGTAAGTATTATTACTATTCGTGTGTAGGTAGGTAGATATTTGCTTTAAGGTAATTATAAATAGAGATGGAGCATTATGCAACTTTTCGAACATTAATTTGCATTGCGATCTTTTCTATTTTAAAAGTATAAATTTTATTATTTGTAAATACAGTATAACCTAAATAAAAACATTTACTTTATTAAAATAAATAATTGTTTCTTAATCATTTTCATATCCATCTGATTCATATAATTCAATTGTGCTATCTGGCTCATTTGATTCATTATCACTGTCTTCACACTTTCCCTAATCTCATTATTTTCCACTTTTGATAATTCATCCTCATCTATATCAATACTACAATATTTTTGTGGAAATTTGGTATATCTTTTAAGGTGTTGTTCACAACAATTTGCAGCAAACAATTTATGTGATCAGTAATTACACTGAGCCCTTTCTTGTTTATGAATGGCCTCATGGCCATGCTTTGTAAAATGAGACCAAATTTTACCAAGTGGACTACAATTGATCTTGACCAATAAAAATCGTTGTTAGAATGTTCCAATGAAAATTTATTGGAAGCATAAATTATGCGCATTATGCAATTTTGCCTAATTATAAACCGAATTTTATCATTATAAGACGAATTTTAAAAATTGATTTATAATAATCATCATCAAACCTTAAGTTCGGGTTTATCAAATTATATTATGTTTTTGGTTAACCAATTTTGCATCGTTATAAAGCGAAAATCGGTTTATAGTATAGCGCCAATCATGTGATCAAAAGCTATTAACGGAAGGATGGACTAGTGGCAATGAAACATTGGTATTGGATGAGTTGATTAAAAGTACACAACTTAAGGCAACCATGTATTATAATGATTGTTATTTCCAATGAATTCCTTGTAATAAAAAATATGTTTACATATATTACAGACTTAGGATTATCATGCCCATCTACTCAAACATCTGCATCAAGTAACCATGATATATATTTGGAGTGCTAAATATGTTATACTAGAAGTTTTAAGAGAGGAACCTTTTAATAATTTGGTACATGATGTAGACCTTGCAATGAAAATATGTGAAGGTGTAAGACCAGGATTTTCAAATAACACACTAAAATTACATGTTGAACTAGCATTCAGGTGCATGGATGCTAATCCAGATAAATGTCCAACTGCTGAAGAAATTTGGAAGATTATTTATTTTTGGGGTTATTCATTTAAGGATGATAAAAGAATTGATTTTGAATATTATGGATATTAAAATGAACAGCTTGATGAATTTAAATCAATTAGAAAAAATGTTTTATGAAATGGATGAAATAAATTTTGACCTTTCAACAATTACTGCGACAATTCATCCAAATGTTTGCTTATTATTATACTAGCATTTACAAACCCATGAATTCCAATAATGTAACAATTATTGGTAATAATTAATGATGGTTAACATTTAATTTTCATTTTAAAATCTGTAATATTATTATTATTTAAATACTTTTTTAGATCCTCCTCAGCAGATTAAGTTAATAAAAATATAAATCTTGTCAATGTTTATTTCCAAACTTATATTTTTTATATACACAAAATATTAAATAAAAAAAAATATTAATATTAATGTGTTGTATTATGGTATGGACAAAGGAAAAAAAAATATAAATAATTTTACCATTAATCTGCCTCGGCTTTAATAATAAAGTTATTGTGAAAATAGCAAATATATAGTTAATTATTGATGGTTTGAAAATAAAATGTCGCTTTGTTAGTTAAAATCATGTATTTTATATAAAATTTTTTTATTAAATTATTTTGTGTTCATTTTTTTCCACTGCTATGCTGAACACTAAACAAAATGCAATAAATATAGACAAAATAGCAGTGTCTTCTCCCACTTCAATTACAGCTATTAAAAAAATGAATGTTATTACCATTCGTAATCATTTAGCCACACTAGGTTTAAATTCGAAAGGACATAGAGATGTTTTAGTAAAACGTTTAAAAAAACATTTAATAATAACTAATGATAACGATAACAATAACGATAAATTGAATAGTGCTAATGGTAATGGTAATGAAGATGACAACAATATTACTAATACCGTTACTAATGATGGTGATGGCAATAATGGTAATAATGATAATAATAATTGTAAGTTATCATTAGAATCATTCACGAACACTGAATCTGATTATGCGAGATTCATCAATCCACAACCAACTTGTAACATAACAAAGAAAAATGAAATTACAAACAAGTATGTCTCACAACTTACTTTATCGAGTCCATAGCATTAATAATAATAATAATGAATTTTTTAGAAAGAATCAACAACCATACAATTATTATATTTGCTTTGATGTAGAAGCAACTTGTGAAAAAGAGGGAGGATTTGATTATCAAAATGAAATTATAGAATTTCCAGCATTATTACTTGACAGTAATACATTTGAGATTGTAAGCATCTAACTATATGCAATCATATTATATCATTATTTATATAAATATAAATATATATATATATATATTATATAATTTAGGTTGATATATTTCATTCATATGTTAAACCAACAATTAAACCTATACTAACTGATTTCTGTAAAGAATTAACTGGTATATCACAGGTAAATAAAAAAGATTTTATAAATATAAACATATTAAACTAAATTACATTCATATTTATTATATGTTTAGGAAATAACAGATGTTAGTCCAACGTTTCCTGAAGTACTTGATAAATTTCAAGAATTTTTACATAGACATCAAGTAATTAATAGTAAAGATTTATTTGAAATAAATTTCAAAAACTATATTTAACAAATTATTTCACTCAATCACTCACAATATAGCTGAATAATTCAAAGAGTTTTGCATTTATGACAGATGGTATTATTTTTTTCCTCATCATCATTTTAATTTTTTCTTAAAATTTACTAACAATTTATGAATAGGACCATGGGACATTCGAGATTTTATTAGAAAACAATGTACGATTTCAAATATATCTCGACCAATTTATTTTAAAAGCCCATGGGTGAACATAAGGAAATTATATTCAGACTTTTATAAGATTAAAAAGTGTAACATTTCCACAATGTTGACAAGATATGAATTAAATTTTGAGGGACATGAACATTCAGGAATCGATGATGCCAGGAATTTGGCAATCATAGTAAAGAAAATGTGGGAGGATGGTGCTATTTTTAAACCCAATTGTTATTTAGATTATAGAAAAACAACTAGAAAAAAAAAATGCCGTAATAAATAATAATTGTTGACTAATGTGATAAAATTTAAATTTATTGTATGCTTTGATTTTTGAATTTTTATATTGTTGAAAAGAGTAAAAAAAGCATTATTACCGATTTAAATTTTAAAGAGGATATTAAAGAAGCGAGTCTTTAAATGATATTTAGACGTATTCCATTTATTAGGTCAAACTGCAACAGACGAATTTGCGTTACTTTCTTGAGTTTGTCGTTGTAGTTCTCTCTCTTTTTCTAAGGGAAGTAAATATTTTTCATAATAACCTTTTTCTCGTTTGAAAAGTAAAATATGTGGTTCAGGTGCTAATAATAACGATTATAATAATTAATTATGGATGGATAAACACATAAATTGGGATCCATATTATACTTACCATGAATCATATAATGTTCCCATCCTTTTGATTGTTGTACACCAAGAGCTCTCCATTCATCTTCTATCATAAGTCTATCACGTGGAACATGGAGTGCAATTTCTTTAGGTAAAATGACATGTCTAAAATGATATTTATATTAATATTTTATTATTTTTTAATGTAAAAAAAGGAAATCCACGCGAAAATCGCATTAATATTCACCTGTATTCAAAAACATCATCTATTTTTTAATAAAATTATGTGAATGAAATGTATATAAGAAAGATATATAAATATAAATAAATATATAAATAAGATATAAAAGAGAGATATATAAGCACAAACCATAATATTTGTCAGAATATTCGATTTCATTTTGATGTTTATAAATAAAGTATGCTCTGATTTCTTCAGATTTGGGAGGTTGGCTAAAATAAAATACTGGTTCAACCCTACAATAACAATTATGATAATGATATAATATTTTTTTAAAAAATTGTTTAATAAAATAATAATTTATTGAATACTCACTCTTCTTCTTCTTGCTGATGTGGTTCTGGATGCTGTGCTTGTTGCAATTGTTGTTGTGGGTGCTGTGCTTGTTGCAATTGTTGTTGTTGTTGTGGATACTGTGCTTGTTGTATTTGCTGTGGATTTTGGAATTGTAAAGGTTGTTGTGCCTGTTGTGGATACTTTAATTGCTGCGGATTTTGTAATCTTTCGCGTTGTAATTGTTCATGTTGTAATTGTAATTGTTGACGTGCTTGTTGTAATTGTTGTTGCGTTTGTGGGTGTTGTCGTAAATGTTGAGCTTCTTGTTGTCGCATATGTTGTATATGTTGCACTTGTATCTGGATTTGCTGATAAATATGTTGTTGTTGTTGTATTTGAAAAGGTTGTTGTTGTTGCTGGATATTTGAACACCGTTGATGATTAATGTTAAACTGCATGTTGATAGCCAGAAAGTAAAAAAATCTTAATAATAATAATAATGTTGTTTGACAGGAGGGAAGACGTAAAAAAATTTTTTTTCCTAATATGATTTTTTTAATATTGCTGTAATGTGAAAGAAATTTATAATTTATGATAAGCTTAACTATTAACATACTATATAATGTAAATGACGAAATCATAAATGTGTTAATATTAATATGTACATAATACACGCGATTATTGTGGCCGAAATCAACCCTAGATTCATTTCCGACTGGGTTTCGGCATCTCTGGAATTCCAAAGATAGTAATAAATTTACTAGAATTTAGCCGCAACCCTGGGAAAATTTATTCCATTATTGCTATTACCATAGTTTTTAGTTTCAGCTAAATCTCGGGATTGATTTTTATGGCCGATACTCACGTGAGAAGGTTTCGGACACATGTATAATATGATTATTATGATGTCATTGTTTCTCATTTTTTTTAATCATTCGATATTCCAAAAGTGTGTTACTAGGCTGTTATCAAAATTTTCTTTCGTTGAGGTATCTTTTTCTTCGCATATACTTGTCAGGATCTTCTTCAACTTACTATTTTTATATATTCCCTTAGTCTCTGTCTTGCATTATTTTCGATAAGTTTCTCTTTTCTAGAGGGCACAAGATGCATTTTTCAAACAATTTTCTTCATTGCCAGTATTCATTATCCTTATTATTATTATTATTATACCAACACTGTAATCCGTTTCTCGAAAAAATTTTCCGATGGTTTTCTAAGGGGCCTTTTCTTCTCCTTGCGTCACCTGTTACTCTTGATTGACTCGTTCACATCAAATCACTGGATTGAAAGGTTGTAAACACTAATCACAAATGACTTTGATTTTCCGGCCTATGTTTTATTTATTCATTGATGAACCAGTAAAGATGGTAGATGTTGTTATTTGACATATGTATCCTTCTTATTTAAATTTTATAAGGGATTAATGTGATAAATAAAATCACTGCGACTGTCACTATTACGAAAGGTCAACAATAATAAAAAACTACATTTAATTGTCCACGAGTGAGCGACTTAATCCACCAGGTAAAGCTTTTTACAAGAGATTCGTGAATGAGAACCAGAAACCCATTCCATCATGATAAGTTAATGAATGTGATAGTTGAGTGTGTGCAGCAGTATCATTACTTGATGATCAAGGAATCGAGATACATGTAAGAACCTTGTTTCGCTGTATACTTGACAGCCCGTTCCCATCAAACATACCTGGGCCTGAAACTGTGACCACATTAAGCAATTTAAGCTTACGATTCTCTCAAAGTCTGTTTTATCCATGACCACGCAGAACTGTGATTTTTTCTAAAGATGAAGGTGTTATCATTGTGTGAGTATTTTAATTATTATTTAGACTTAAAACATTCAAATAAAATATGTGCCATGTAAATATATTATTAATATAATAATTAAGTTCTTCAAGCCTTCATATCTTCTTTTAATGGATTAAAAACTGTTTAAATGTTGCGACTCAATCAAAATATCACCTTTGAAATCAATCAATGGTCGCACAAATATTTTTCAAATAAGAAATTAAGATATTGTGCGTGCACATTAAGTAATTAAACAATAGTTGGTACCAATTAATTCATTAGTCGGATTTTAAGACTGGATTTTCTTGAGGGATTTCTGAATGCTGAGCATATTTATCTAGTTTATGGAATGACTGGTTTACAAGAATTACTTATGATTGTTCATGGACTTCCATGTGTTATAATTAAAAAAATTATGGAACCAATCAAAAGAGTTTTTTGGTGTCTTCATCTTCCGATGTTTTATTATCAAAATTACTTTCATTAACTAGCCAGAATCCAATTAATCCTAATGTGCTAGAATTAGAATTGATTGGATCAAGAAATTTACAAATAAAATATATGGTAATGATGAATCTGAGTTAACTTGAACTACTTTTATACTTATTGAAAAAAAACATTAGTGCTCAAGTGAAGATTCCCTGCTTCTGAAATTCAAAGATTATTGGAAAGAAAACAAGGATCATTATTGTGAGCAATTCAATCAGAATATCGTAAATGTAAACGTCTAAAAGTATCCTACCAAAAAGTTTTTCTCCACTTCTTCAGCAGAAAGGCGCCAGTTAAAATAACGAAAATTGCTATTTAATAAAATGGGCATTTAACATTTTTGTGATTTCTGCAATCATACGTTGACTTCATTACTGTGTTTAATAATACCTAATTTCACCAGTAACCCCTGGACCAAATGTTGATCCAATATGTAGTGGTCCTGTATTGAACAGAACCTTTTGCATCTGAACATCCTCAATGCTATGGAATCCGACCCATGAACCATCTATATAGAAGTCTAACCTCTTTTCAGAATCAGAAAGGGTGTAACTTAGATGGTGCCATTTATTCAACGAAAGCTCAGCAGTAGTCTCACCAATTCCAACATTTGGTTCCCAGTTACCTGAGAAACGCGCATGCAATGTAGTTTTGTTTGGCAACAACCAGAGTGAAGGAGTACGGATTAAATGTTCAGTGCCTAAAGGTGTGTGTATTTTATTCAATTTGAAAAGGTGTCAGTTTAGACAACTAATAAACAAATAAATAATCACATTTTCATGCAAAAAATCAACCTTTATGAAAAATGCAGGCCCAATCAGGATAGATAATTTGAAGTTTCAGATTTAGTGTCACTGAAAGCTCATTGTTTACCACAGGCAATTCATCATGTTGTACAATTCTATTTTCAGAATCAGTTAGGGAAATGGGATCAGATATAATTTCATGGAACTCTTTTACAACAACTTTCTTCATTTTTCTGAATTGAAAAAAAACCAGTAGTAGTAGATTGATAATTCAACAAGTTGCAAACATGTCCTTTTTATACAAAATAAAAGATTGTATGAAATACCCCATTTTAGATGATAACAAGTTTATGAACGAGAATATGACGTTGGGTGGCTGGTCAAATATGCAATATTTACAATAATAAATTTCAAAAGTAAATGAGCCTCGTTTAACCGAAATTACATCACATCCTCATCAAGTGGTGGTCCGCAGATCCGGGATATTAATATTAATATTAATATTAATCTTGAATTAAAAAAACCCGCTTTTGGATTTTTAGAAATATAATGATAAATTATTTTTTTTAATAATGATCATTTCAATTATTATCTATACTTTGATTTACATTATATTTACCAACTTTCATTGAAATGGAAAACAATTTTCTTAAATAGTAAAAGTATATATATTGCGCATCGTAAAAGGTTACATGAATAGAAGTTTGTGAATGAGGTTTAGTTACTTTTGCTTTTGATAATTTTTGAATTTGCATCCGAGAAAATTTTTCCATTCACTCACGTTAGGTAAAGGTCTAGCATATTGACCTTCTGCCAGCCATTTGGATATACCAGCTATTGTATTTATTTTTCTTTAATTTTTTCTCGATATGTTATCAGGTTTGCCACTGAAATATACTCTGGACTCCTTCAATTCCTAAATGTCCATAGAAATTATTTATTAATAAAATTATTTCTTTGAAAATAAATTTTTTTATTAGATAATCAGGCAAATAAATCAAGAGCCAGTAATATAATGGTTCAACCATACCAAATATCATGAGCCATTTTAACCCATAAACAATATATAGTAATAGCATTTTTGAAAAAGAACGAAGGCGGAACAAAATTTTCTAAAAATAATTACCATTTTACAAGGTTTTTTCACGCAGGTAATGCTATACAAAGTTGGCTCACTTGTTATTCTGCAGCATGCAAAACTGAATTAATAATAATAACAATAAATAATTCGCAATAAAAGTTTTTTTTTGGATTTAAAATAACAAAATTCATAAAAGTAATGAAATAATTGAGAAATACCATTACCATTAAAACTAGCTACAATTTTTTTTTTTAAAAAATGTTGCAATTTTATTATTTTTTCTCATAAAATTCATATATGTATTTACATGGAATCCATGATTGCCCAAGAGTAAAACATAGTTTACACGTAGTTTGGTAATGTCCATTACCAAGACGGTTACCACGCGTAAAATATTCCCAGATATCACTATATTTTGGACCAAGTTTGTTTTTGTTATCAGCAGCAGAATTCATCTTTAATTATTATAAGAAAAATATGAAAAAGAAATGGAAAAGAAATTGTTATAACTAGAAAGTAAGGATCGTGATCTACTCTTTTTATTCGAATGTAACATTAGATAAATATTTATAACAAATATTACAACATTGTGGTTAGTAAATTCTGGCTTTGCAACACCATAATACCGCAATTTTGCATTACCAACTTTAATTTATGTATGAACAAAGGAGGCAAATTTCTTCGTTCCAGTTGTATTGGATGTAAGTAGAACTGTTACTCTATTTTATCTTGTCTTGTTCCCGAAAGTAGTCCAGTTGATAATCCATGTGTCGGCTCCAATTTTCAAAAAAGATCAGTTTCATCAAAGGACATTTTGCAAATTTCTTCTCATTTCTGGAAGTTATCCAATAGATGGACTTTGTGCTTCGCCATGTTTAGGATACTTGCGGATTGAGTATCTCTATTTAAAATTGTACAAGCAACCAGTAGACTTATTAAATTTTTGATTATTTAATAATTCAGCAATTTTTAGTATATCACTGTACTAATTCCATAATCGTTTGGCTAAATCATATTTTTGATTTTTTTCAATAAATACAACTCACGCTTTTGTTCAGCAGTAATATATACACGATTCTTTGATGAAAATGATTGTTGTTGAGACAATTTAAAATTTTTTTCAATTATATAGGATTTTTTTTTAATTTGATTAATTTAGAAAATTGGCTAAATCTCTGATAAACAATCAAATCTATTTGGATATTAACCCCCTAACGTTGTATTCTTGTTAATAAACTTATCATTTAAAATGGGTATTAATCAATTTAATAATCAGTTTATTTTTTTTTCAATTAAGAAAAAATGAGGAAAGTTGTTGTAAGAGAGTTTTGTGAAATTATAGAAGATCCCATTTCCCTGACTGCTTCTGAAAACAAAATCGTGCAACATGCTGACTTGCCCACGGTGAAAGATGAGCTTTCAGTGACTCTACATCTGAAAGTTAAAAGTATTAATTCTAGTTGGGCCTGCATCTTTCTTAAAGGTTAGTTTTTGCAAGAATGGATTCTGAACATCCAATGAATGTGATTATTTAATTGTTAACACCGGTAAAAAAAAATCAAATTCGACTTTGGTTAAACATTTGTTAAGATGTGCAGTTTTAGTTAATAAGGGATAAACTTTTGATAAATCGAACAAGCATTTAATTTTTTTTTTTACCCATTTTTCAAATTGAATAAAATACACACACCTTTAGGCACTGAACATTTCATCCGTACTCCTTCACTCTGGTTGTTGCCAAACAGAACTACAATGCATCCCCGTTTTTCAGGTAACTGGAATCATGATGCTGGAATTGGCGAGACCGATACTCAGCTTTCGTTGAATAAATGGCACCATATAAGTTACACCCTTTCTGATTCTGAAAAGAGATTAGACCTCTACATAGATTGTTTATGGGTTGGATACTATGTCATCCAGAATGTTCAAACACAAAAGGTTGTGTTCAATACTGGACCACTGCATATTGGGATAGCATATGATGGCAAGCTTACTGGTATTACTGGTGAAATTAGGTATTATTATCATAAAGTCGATCTACATATGATTACAGAATCACAAAAATGTTAAATGATCATTTTTATTAAATAGCAATTTTCGATATTTTAACTGGCGTCTTACTGCTGAAGAGGTGGAGAAAAACTTTTTGGTAGGATGCTTTTAGACATTTGTATTTGTAGGTTATTGTTTATTCAGTTGCTCACAATAATTATCCTCATTTTTTCAGAAACAAGGAGTCTTCAAATGATTTTTTAATAATAGTTAAGATTGGGTGATATTATATTAATATGTTCTAAATTTTATCAAAAGATATATCTTAAAATGTTAGCAAATCATATTTATTTAATAATAACTCAAATACATCATTGCTATATGATTTATTGAGGTTTGGGTGGTAATTTTGACAACAAAACTCCAAAGAATAGAAATATTTATTAGTTTCATGCCACAGTCATGCAAAATTACTCATCTGATATAATGACATAATATAAAAATATCACGAAAGAGCTATTATATCAAGTTTCATTCCTTAAATCATGCCAGGAATCACTTTAGTAAATCCAGATTTAAAGCCAATTATTGAATATTAATTGATAGTTTTTGATTTTTTGATTACACGATTTGATTTTGGTTCACAACATCAACATGCACACACGATACTCAACCCCAATGATCTATGGGAAGTTGATGGATAAAAAATGATTTATATACAATGAAAATAAAATGCTTTATTGTGAAACATGCATGACTATGAATTAATATTTGATCCTTAACAGCATAACTGGGTACCAAGATAAATATGAATTTCATTAGCATTAGTGATGTACAGTTGTAATAATTGTTTATCGGATTATTCAAAGAGAGAACCCTTCCAAATGCAGAAGTAAAAACATGCACAAATTCGCAGAAACTGACAAAATTTTTTCAGGGCTGTAAAACTATTACGTCAGATTTGCTAAATGATGAATTAAACATTTGCTTGGCAACATTATAGACATAATTTGAAAAAATACATCTGATTTCCAATAAACCTCTAGATTTTATTATTATGTCTACAATACTATAATACACATTAAATTATTTACACGAATATATTATATCTCTTTATATTTTGTTTGTTAAATGAATATTAGTTTGAAATCTTTATTGATGAATGGCAACTAGTAAAATCGCAATAATTCGGCTGATACCTCTAACATTTATCAAATAAAAAATAAAAATTCATTTGGAACTATATTGAGGATCATAAGGTGAATGTGTCTTTTGAACACTCTGATGGGATATGCAATAAAAAATAAATAATTCGGCTAGTAAATGAGAAGGAAGGATAAAAAATATTTTGTAAGTAGTTAATAATTTACATTTAGTTATGTTGTATGTGAAATTGAAATATTATGGAGTGGGGTAAAATTCTGATTGGCTAATTTGAATTTCACACATGTAAATTTGAATTTCACATATGTGAATTGCGAATTCACATAATTTCATTTTCACGTACAACATATATTGACCCCCTAACGTTGTATTCTTGTTAATAAACTTATCATTTAAAATGGGCATTAATCAATTTAATAATCAGTTTATTTTTTTTTCAATTCAAAAAAAATGAGGAGAGTCGTCGTAAGAGAGTTCTGTGAAATTATAGAAGACCCCATTCCCCTGGCTGCTTCTGAAAACAAAATAGTGCGACATGATGACTTGCCCACGGTGACAGACGAGCTTTCAGTGACTCTGCGTCTGAAAGTTAAAAGTATTAATTCTGATTGGGCCTGCATCTTTCTTAAAGGTTAGTTTTTGCAAGAATGGATTCTGAACATCCAAAGAATGTGATTAGTTAATTGTTAACACCGGTAAAAAAAATCAAATTCGACTTTGGCTAAACATTTGTTGAGATGTACAGTTTTAGTTAATAAAGGATAAACTTTTGATAAAACTGAACATTTCAACAAGTGTTTAATTTTTTTTTACCAGTGTAAACTGACACTTTTCAAATTGAATAAAATACACGCACCTTTAGGCACTGAACATTTCATCCGTACTCCTTCACTCTGGTTGTTGCCAAATAAAACTACAATGCATGCGCGTTTTTCAGGTAACTGGCATCGTAATGTTGGAATTGGCGAGACCGCTACTCAGCTTTCGTTGAATAAATGGCACCATATAAGTTACACCCTTTCTGATTTAGAAAAGAGATTAGACCTCTACATAGATTGTTCATGGGTCGGATACTATGGCATCCAGAATGTTCAAACACAAAATGTTCTGTTCAATACTGGACCACTGCATATTGGGCTAGCATATGATGGCAAGCTTACTGGTATTACTGGTGAAATTAGGTATTATTATCATAAAGTCGATCTACATATGAATCGCAAAAATGTTAAATGATCATTTTTATTAAATAGCAATTTTCGCTATTTTAACTGGCGTCTTACTGCTGAAGAGGTAGAGAATAACTTTTTGGTAAGGTGCTTTTAAACATTTGTATTTATTGGTTATTCAGTTGCTCACAATAATTATCCTCATTTTTTCAGAAACAAGGAGTCTTCAAATGATTTTTTAATAATAGTTAAGATTGGGTGATATTATATTAATATGTTCTAAATTTTATTGAAAAGATATATTTTATTAATAAAATACATCATTGATTAATTGAGTAATTTTGATAAGAAAGCATCGGAATATGAGGACCCCAAAGAATAGAAACGCTCTTTTTATTAACGTACAATAAATTTGTAGCTAATAGTTTTAATGCATGCAACTTTTCATATTTATCGAATTTTTTCAATAAAAAGGGTTAATGCGTTGCATTTATCATTTGCCTCATTTGTCAGAATTTGTGTAGTTTTTTATATTAATAAAGTATCAACAAAAAACACGGCTCGATTTTAAATGAATTAATAAATTTTTATGACTAATAAACTAAACTTTATGACTAATAAACTAAACTTTATGACTAATAAACTAAACTTTATGTCTAATAAACTAAACTTTATGACTAATAAACTCTTATTATTATTAATAATCAATCAGTTTGCTATTTTGTTTTTTTTTTTTTCAATTCAAGAAAAAATGAGGAGAGTCGTCGTAAGAGAGTTCTGTGAAATTATAGGAGATCCCATTTCCCTGACTGTTTCTGAAAACAAAATCGTGCAACATACTGAATTGCCCACGGTGAAAGACGAGCTTTCGGTGACTCTATATCTGAAAGTTAAAAGTATTAATTCTGATTGGGCCTGCATCTTTCATAAAGGTTGGTTGGTTTTTTGCAAGAATGGGTTATGGACATCTCCGTGAATGTCACTGGCAAAAAAATCGAATTTGACTTAGATTAAACATTGTTAAGATGTACAGTTTTAGTTAATAGAAGATGGAACTGTACATCTCAACAAGCGTTTAATTATTGTTTAATTTATTTTTTTACCAGTGTGAACTGACACTTTTCAAATTGAATAAAATATACACACCTTTAGGCACTGAAAATTTTATCCGTACTCCTTCACTCTGGTTGTTGCCAAACAAAACTACAATGCATGCACGTTTTTCAGGTAACTGGGATCATAATACTGGAATTGAGGAGTCTGCTACTCAGCTTTCGTTGAATAAATGGCACCATATAAGTTACACCCTTTCTGATTCAGAAAAGAGATTAGACCTCTACATAGATTGTTTATGGGTCGGACACTTTGGCATCCAGGATGTTCAAACTCAAAAGGTTCTGTTCAACACTGGACCACTGCATATTGGATTAGCATTTTATTCAGGGATTAGTGGCGAAATTAGGTACTAGTACAAGTTGACCTACATATGATTACAAAAATGTTAAATGATCATTTTTATTAAATAGCAATTTTCGGTATTTTAACTGGCGTCTTACTGCTGAAGAAGTGCAGAAAAACTTTTTGGTAGGATAATTTTAGACATTTGTATTTTATTGTTTTTATTCAACTGCTCACAATAATCACCCCCATTTTTCTAAAAAAAATTAGAAACAAGAAGCTTTTAAATGATTTTTTTTTAATGAAATATGAAAGTAGTTAATATCGCATGATATTATATTAATATGTTCTAAATTTTATTAAAGATATATTTTAATTAACATTATTAGAAATAAATCAAATATATCATTGCTTATGATTAACCGAGGTTTGGGTAGTAAATTGACAATAAAGCATCGAAATATAAAAACCCCAAAGATAGAAACGCTCTTTCCATTAGTTTACATTATAATTAAAATACTATTTTTAGTTATTGACAACCATATGTAATTCTTGCAAACTCAGTTATTAGTTTCATGCCACAGTCACATTCCTTAAATCATGCCTGGAATCCCTTCAGAAAATCCAGACTTAAAGCCAATTCTTGAATTAATTGATAGCTTTTGTTTTTAGTGTTATGATCATTTAATGTGCAGTGAAATTCAAGAATCTGCAAGGTAAAGATGAATGTATCTTTTGAATATTCGGATGGATATGCAATAAAAAAATAAATAATTCGACTAGTAAGGAAAAGATAAAATATTTTGTAATAAGAATTTATGAGAAAAATACATAATGATTTTTAATTTATATAACTTGCAAAAAGATTCATGAAGTTTGAATTGTAATCAAATTTAGCAATTTGTCATGAAATTGTAATGCATTGCAAAAGAACAAAATAATTGAATATATAAAGTAAACGAAAATAATAGTGCTGAAAAATATGGAAATTGACATGCCACGTTTTCTGTACAATAACAACGGATTTTGATGAATTAATTGAACGTAAACTTATTATTAAACAATTTTCGCCTTTGCCTTTTAAACGCAATCTTTACGTGTGAGTAGCAGGGTGCGAAATCCTATCATAAAATTCCGGGCATTCTGATAAAATTTTAGGATGTGGGAATCGGCCATTTTCCGGTTACATTATTGGAGTTTCTATTCTAGAGTTTCTATTCGTAATACAAATTCTTGTTCGAATTATTTGTTTTATTCAAAATTACTCGTTTTATTTGTTTTATAAAATATAAAATATTAATCCACAGCTTATTATTGTTTAACTTTATAAATAAGGACTTATTTCCTTTAACAAGATGATATAATTATAATCTATATTACTACTGTAGTAACTAGTACTATGACTTAATGAAAGAAAGGAAAATGTCAATTACTTCTATTTATTATTATTATCATTATATACAAGGACTACGAAGGAAAAATTGATAAAATATTTTAATTGGATTAGCAATGTGTATAATAATAATAATATTATTATTATTATTATTGTTGTTGTTGGTTTTATTCGAATCATTATTATTAGTTTTATTCGAATAAAATTAATAATTCGAATAACCCAAATTCATAATAAATAAAACGAATAATTCGAATAAACCTTATTCGAATAGAAACCATATTTGATATTAAGAAATTTTTTTGGTCCGATATTTTTGAAGATTTCCAAACATTCCCCAATATTTTTGATACACATTTCGCACCCTGCGTAATAGTATGAAAAACAAAATCAAACCGGCGCAAGATTAATGTCTTTTTTGGTAATTTTATCTATAAAAAGGAATTTGCAGTTTCATGAAGTTTGTTGCATTGTGTTAAAATACTCTCTATTGATCATGGCGTGGTCATGCCGGAAGGGAAGGGAGAAGTCGATATGGCATGTTGATGTTGATGTTGATGTTAAAAATCAACTTTTGGGGAAGGAATTGTAAATTGCAAATGTTCATTTTTTTTTTTTGTGCGTGTAAAAATTGACTTGCAGATCAATGAATATATTTATTTCCTACTTTCAATGACACCTGATTGCCTTCCGTTTTTTTCTCTTGCCAGCCTTTTAACTTGCGCTTGATTTTCTCTGCTATCTTCTTCCTGTTGAAACCAACATGAATTTAATAGTTATTTGCAAGAATGAGAAAAATCATTATATACCTTTTAAGGCAAAAAATCTATTTTAGAAATATTACCTTTTCGATTAATTAATGAAGGAGATCTTAGCAAACAATTACTTTTTCGATCGATTATCTTAGCAAACAATAAACCATTACTTTTTCGGATTAATAAAACTATACATTAACTTCTTGATAAATAAGAACTATTACTTTTTCCGATTAATTAATGAATGGGAAGGATCTTAGCAAAAAAATTCAAATACTTTTTAATGTAGCTCAGATCAACCAACCCCTTTCTCTCTAAAACTTTGTTCTATATTACTGTAGACATGTTGATCGTGTGAAATGTCGACTGACTAATAAAACTTTTATTGACTAATAGTGATGTTAGCCGGCTAATAATCTGCATACATGATTTCTAAATTTGGTAATAGATCTCCGCGTTACCTTCTGGTTATGGAAATAAAATTACCAATTTAGGTAGTAAACAGCTTAGCCGGCTAACATCACTAATGACTAATAAGCTTTTATTATTATTAATAATCAATCAATTTGCCGATTTTTTTTCAGTTCAGAAAAAATGAGGAGAGTCGTCATAAGAGAGTTCTGTGAAATTATAGAAGACCCCATTTCCCTGACTGAATCTGAAAACAAAATCGTGCAACATGCTGACTTGCCCACGGTGAAAGACGAGCTTTCAGTGACTCTGTATCTGAAAGTTAAAAGTATTAATTCTAGTTGGGCCTGCATCTTTCATAAAGGTTAGTTTCTTGCAATGATGGGTTCTGGAGATCCTCGTGGATGTGGTTATTTAGTTATCTAACACTGGTAAAAAAATCGAATTCAACTTAGATCAAATATTTGTTAAGATATAAAACTGTACATCTCAACAAGCGTTTTAAAATTTTTTTTACCGGTGTAAATTGACTCTTTTCAAACTGAATAAAATACACATGCCTTTAGGCACTGAAAATGGCATCCGTACTCCTTCACTCTGGTTGTGGCCAAGTCAAACTACACTGCATGCGCGTTTTTCAGGTAACTGGGACTGTAATATCGGAATTCATCAGACTACTGCTCTTTCGTTGAATAAATGGCATCATATAAGTTACACCCTTTCTGATTCTGAAAAGAGATTAGACCTCTACATAGATTGTTTATGGGTCGGATACTATGGCATTCAGGATGTTCAAACACAAAATGTTCTGTTCAATACAGGACCACTGCATATTGGATTAGCATTTGATTCAGGGATTACTGGTGAAATTAGGTATAATTTATTTATCACAATGATTAAATCGATTTACACATGATTGCAGATATCACAAAAATGTTAAAATGCCCATTTTTATTAAATAGCAATTTTCGTTATTTTAACTGGCGTCTTACTGCTGAAGAAGTGCAGAAAAATTTTTTGGTAAGATACTTTTAGACATTTGTGTTTGTATTGTTTTTAGTAAATTGCTCACAATAATCATCCCATTTTTTCTAAAAAAATTTAGAAACAAGAAGCCTTCAAATAATTTTTTTTTTAATGAAATATGAAAATAGTTAATATCACATGATACGTATTATATTAATATGTTCTAAATTTTATTAAAAGTTATAATTTAATTAACAATAAATCAAATGCATCATTGCTTATGATTAATCGAGGTTTGGGTAGTAAATTGACAATAAAGCATCGGAATATGAAAAACCCAAAGATAGAAAGATTAGTTTACATTATAATTAAAATACTATTTTTTAGTTATATGTAATTTTTGCAAACTCAGTTATTAGTCTCATGCCGCAGTCACGCAAAGTTACCGATATGATTACATATCATAAGCAAAATATAAAAACATCACAAAAGATTTATATTCCTTAAATCATGCAGTTTAGATACCTTCAGCATCTTAGGAACACCTTAGGAAAATCCAGACTTTAAACCAATTATTGAATTAATTGACAATTAGTGCCGTGATTACTTAATGTTCACGTTGTGTGATGCATACCCAAAAATTTAATTATCAATTCGCACGATTTGGTTTTTGACTCACAACATATAACATGCACACACGATACCTTATCTCAATTATTTTCTCAATGATGTATGGGAAATTAATGGGTGTAAAATGACTTATCCTAAAGAAAATAAAATGCATTATGGTGAACTGTGACTAGGAAGGAACTGACATTCGACTCTCAATAGTGCATGACCACGATTATGAGTAATTGAGCGATAACTTATAATTAGTATTAGAACAAATCTTCGATGGGTTAGATAGCGCCAGACAAGAAGATAATGGAATAAGCATAAAAATATAAAAAGTTACTATTACTAATAAAAAGGATCACTAACCGGTAATCTCGATAGTAAAATCGTGTAGCTTCAAACTCCTCAGGCTTTTTTTTTTCCTATTACATTGTTGCTTAGAAATATAGTTATTGAGCCTTAGCTGCTATTTTTTTTTTTTTTATGCCTTTAAACAGATGATCTGTACCATAAAAAAAAAAAAATAAATAAATAACGCGTACAATATAAGAACATCATAATAATATAAAGACCTCTACATAAAGACACATATCTTGAAAACCACTTAATATTAAACTTATAGAAAAATACATCTATATAATAACACCTTCCTTAAGAACATTTTTAAGAAAAGTCAGGCATCTAGTCCTCCAGTTTGTGTTACAGCAAAAAATTAAGCCGATCGATAAATTGAAAGATAGAGTAATATTTTTTCGATTTATCGGTTTACTTTTTGTGCTGACATAATTCACATTAGTAAATCGATAAGAATAATAATAATCAGGGTTTCCTATTATTTTATACTATATGGACTGGATCATTCAATTATCAAAATTTGAATTCAACCATTGATTATCCGGGTGTTCATCAAAACATCCTCTTAATAAAATTTGACTAACCACCCTAACGTTGTATTCTTTTATAAACTTGCTATCATCTAAAAATGGGTATTTCATACAAGCTATGAACTTATTTTGTGCAAACATATATAAAAAGGGCCCTGTTGAATTATTTGATTATCAATCTGCCGTTTTTTTAATCAGAAAAATGAAGAAAATTATTGTAAAAGAGTTCCATGAAATTATAACAGACCCCATTTTCCTAGGTGCTTCTGAAAATAGAATTGTGCAGCATGATGAACTGCCCGTGGTAAACGACGAGCTTTCGGTGACTCTATATCTGAAAGTTAAAAGTATTAGTTCTGGTTGGGCCTGCATTTTTCATAAAGGTTGATTTTTTACAAGGATGATCCCAGAGAATCTGGTTGTTTTATTTGTTATTTAAACTAACATTTCAAAACTGTATAAATACACATACCTTTAGGTGATGAACATAGTATTCGCACTCCTGGACTCTGGTTGTGGCCAAACAAAACTACATTGCATGCCCGTTTCTCAAGTAACTGGAATCGCAATGTTGGAATTGGTGAGACTACTGCTCTTTCATTGGATAAATGGCACTATCTAAGCTACACCCTTTCTGATTCTGAAAAGAGATTAGACCTCTACATAGATTGTTCGTGGGTCGGATTCTATAGCATCCAGGATGTTCGGACGCAAAATGTTTTGTTTAATACAGGACCACTGCATATTGGATCAGCATTTAATCCAGGGATTACTGGTGAAATTAGGTATTATTTATCACAGTAATGAAGTCAACATATGATTGCAGAAATCACAAAAATATTAATTGCCCATTTTATTAAATAGCAATTTTCGTTATTTTAACTGGCGCCTTTCCGCCAAAGAAGTGGAGAAAAACTTTTTGGTAGGGTAATTTTTAGCCTTTTGGATTTATAGGATTTTTATCCAATTACTTACAGTCATGATCCTTGTTTTTTTTTTCAATAATTTTAAAATTTCAGAAGGAAGGAATATTCGACTGTCAATGATTTTTTTTAAATAAAAAATAAAGGTACAAGATATTGGATTACTTTATATCAATATATTCTCAATTTCCTTGAAAAAATATAATTTGCTATTAAAAATATCTGTAAATAACTCAAATACATCATTGCTATATATTTTATTTGTGAAATTTCTAGCACATTAAAAGTAATTAAGGTCTGAATAGTAATTTTGACAAAGCATCGGAATATGAAGATCACAAAGAATAGGAACATTGGTTAAAATAGCATTTTTTTAATTATTATAATTCTTTTAAACTCGGTTATTAGTTTTGTGCAAATTTACCCATCTAATATGATGACATATCATAAGCAGGATATAGAAATATCATAAAGAGTTATGTCAAGTTGCGTTCCTTAAACGAGCTTAGATACCCTCAGCATCCAAAAATCTCTTCCGAGATCCCGTCTTAATATTAAAGTCAATTAATGAATCATCCCGACTCATTATTTTTAGTACGCACACGATTTTTCATCTCAATGATGTATGGGAGGCTGGTTTATATATAATGCCTTATACAATGAAAATTTTATACTAAAGAGAATAAAGTGTGTATAGTGAGCCGCGACTAGGGGTTTATATTTGATCCTCAATAGCTTGCATGATCATGATCGTGAGTAATTGAGTAATAATTTGTATTAGTTCAAATATATATATATGTGATCTTCGTTGAGTTAGATGGTGTCGAACAAGAAGATAATAGCATAAGCAAAAAAACAAAGATAATCTCATAAGAAAAAGGCTTCTTTTTTAGAACTTTATTGTTATTGTAATTGCTATTTCGTGTTCAATATTTATAATTGATCTTTTAGTCAGAAGAAATAGAAAAAATGGTATGAAGAAAGTGCATACCATACTTTTTAGCATGGTATTCACATTATAATATATATAGCACTATGAATTGCTATGTTGAACTTGGAGTTTTGTTTTAGTACGATATATATCCAAGGAAAATCCAACAAGATAAATTCATATATGCGGATTTTTTTATAGTTACCAAGAGCCGGTGTAATGAAAAATCGGTGATGTGCATCGGAAGCTTTCAATGAAAGGTTTTGGAAGTTTTAGAAGTCACAAACCTTCCAATAGTTTATGACCTTTCATTGGAACTGGACTTTGAACATTCCAGCCAATAAAATTCAAATTTCTGTTTCTTGACATTTTTTCTAACTATTTTTAATAATAACCCTGTTAAACCAAAGAAACAGTAAATCCACCCCGTTAAACCAAATTTGTTAAACCTAAATACTAATATGGTTGGCTCGGTCTAAAGATCTCCTATTGCTGCGTCTCGTGGCCAAATTTCAAAAATAGTGATTTCGTGATTCGTTCAAAAATGCAATAAAATTTTCAAAATGGGTCTTCACGTGATTTGGTTCTAAAATTATTTACCATACTTCCAAATTTAGATGTGATTTTTGTGCGCTAGTCTAAATTTAGCAATGATGTATATTAAACTAGTATAAATTTAGTAATGATCCTAGCGGTCAAATTCCTTGCGAGCATAGTAAAGTACATGTTTTAAAAAAGAATAGAACTCTATAGCAAATAATTTTTTTGAGAATATCTCGTTATTACATTAAAACTAAAGACCTATTCTATCAACTAATAATGCTATTTTTTTAAAAGATAGGACAGAAAGTGACTTCTATACTTTTAAAATTTGCCCAAAATTTAGGAGGTCTTTAGACCGAGCCAACTATACTAATTTTAAACGGAAATAACGGGGGTTGGCTGTGTGGTTTGTGGCCTAGTACTAGACCCTATAAATTATTTTAATTTTTTAATAATAGTAAATAATGACATACCAAAAATCAGAAAACATGAAAATTTTTGCATGCATATTCTACAGGATCTAGGCTACAAGTCATATATACTTATTTTATTATGTATGTTTTTGCATTATTGATTCTCTGAAATTTGCTGTAGTGTACAATTTTGTTCTATTTGAATCTACTAAAACAAATAAACAAATGAATAAATTTATTATTTATCAAAAAAAGAAATAAAGAAGTAAATATTTTGAAAAAATTCTTTAAAAACAACATTGTTTAAATTGACTACTGCTTGTGTGATCAATTCAATCATTAACACTAAAGGAACAAAATTAATTATTTCATAATAAAAGCTATTTGTTTGTTTTTTTTTTGATTTTAGTATTAATGCACAGTTTCTATTCATAATACAAGTTTCGTTTTATTTGCTTTTGTTTGCTTTTATTTGCTTTATTCGTTTTATTTGTTTTTTTTTGCTTTTATTTGTTTTATTCATTTTATTTGTTTTATTTGTTTTATTTGCTTTTATTTGTTTTATTTGTTTTATTCATTTTGTTTGCTTTTATTCATTTTATTTGCTTTTATTTTATTCATTTTATTCGTTTTATTTCGTTTCAAATAATATTTATTATTCATTTATGTTTATTATGTTTATTATTATAATTTTTTTTTTCTAAATACAACAAAAGCCAGACTTACAATGATTTCATATCATGAATCAATTATAAACATTAAAAAAATTTAATCTTTTGGTGCGATTTGAAGATTTATTTGGACGTTATTACAGTTTTTTATAAAAATTTTCAGCAAACTATAACTTTTAGGTTGCTCACTGTATAATGGTTTTGATGATGATTCTTGCATATCTATAGAAATAAATCAATTAGCTCAAATAATACATATAATATTAACATCTTAAATCAGGATTGGAATTGAAATTATCACATTTGTCAGGAATCATTTTGTTTATAGTTTCATGCATAATTTGCTTAGCAAATGTTTGATAAGCAGCAATACCACTTGTTGATCTATGGCCAGTAATTCTGATAATCTGTTCATTACATTTAGTTGTGTCAGGTATTGTACAGTTGTACATCTTATTGAATGATTCGTAATTTGAATCTGTTCCAGTGATTTCACAAATCTTGTGTATCATATTTTTGTGTGAGTATCTTCCCAAAGGAGCATCGATAAACCAGATACCTTTATTTATAAAATCTTTAAATAAATAAATTGTTAGATAAATATTAATTATTATGTTTATTGAAGATAATAAAATCAGATATATCTGTTTACTTGATTTAGAAGACCAACAAAGGAAAAAAAATTCACATTTAAACCCTTGGGGTCTTTTAGATATGTAATTGATGATATCTGAAAAGGTGTTAATTTTTTTTTATTGTCAGGTGGAATTTCAATAACCCTGCCAGAATTATTTAAATCTTTAAAACCACCAGCATTGTTTTTTCACAAGGAATTGTAATTGTCAGTCCATTAATAGCTGCTAATTCCACATTTGCCAATTTTAATCTTTGAGCATCTCCACCACAAAAACCACACAAGAAACATAACCAGAAATGGGTTTTGTAAGTGGTGGATAATGGTGTGTCTTTGTTTAACTCAGGATGTGTTAAAATTTGGTAAATTTCATCATATTCAAGTGAGTCAGATTTTTTCTGTTTGATTATGCTTAAATCTTGTATTTTTTTAATTTTGCCATCTAAATGTTTGTGAAG